AAGACATTTGAATCTTGCCGCAAGCTTACTGTGAGATTATATTCTATTTGGTTGTAGATGTTTAAAGATTTATTCTGACAATTATTTTTCAATATTGATTACAAGTAAAATATATAAAATTTAATTCTTATTTTAAGATAGGAAAAAAAATAATATACATATACCGTATCTCATTTGCAAAATTTTGCAAATACTTTTGAGTTATAGTAATGATTGTTCCATACTTAAAAAATTTTTTCTGAAAATTTTTTAAAGTCTATCTATCTTATAACCTTTTTATAACCTTTTTATATTTTTAAATTTTGAATTTCGTTCATGAGGAATAAATTATCTAAAGTTATATGAAAATGCATAATATGGGGTTTTATTTTAATTTCATGGTTCCTTTCCTAATTTTCAAGTGTCATTCTATCATTTGAGATTACCGGTAGTTTTCCCAACTGCAGTTTCCCGACAGCTGTTTTCCCGACAACTATATTTCCGACAAACGTTTTTCCCGAAAGCAATTTTCCGACAAATATAAATCCCGACAAATAATTTTAAAACAATATCATGTGTAGATATGTCATTTTTAATCATTTGCCTAAATATTTCATTGATTTTCTACAGTGGCCCAACTCTGGAAACCATGCTCAACTTTGACAACATTTTTTTTAAATTGCTTATAACTGTGAACCTTTTGATCAAATTTTTTTACAATGAGCATGAAAAACATTGCATTTGAGTTGATTTTTCCAACAATATGCACAAAATCGCGAAATTCGTTCTACAGGGGAAGTTATGTAAAAAAGTCAAAACTATGCCCAACTCTAACAACACTCCCCTAATAGTATACCCCCATTTTTTATTATATTTTACTGTCATTTTACAAATATTCAATGCAATATTGCCTTCATTTTCAAAATTATTAATATTTACAACTTGGCTAATATATAAATTTAATTATTATAACAGATGAGGATAATCAATATCAAAGATGTCTTGAAGATTCTTCATCATCAGAGTAATGTCATTTACCAAAAATAATTATAATAACAAAAATCTTGTGTTTAATTTAATAAATTCTTTGTTTAAAAAAAAATTAAATACTAGTTGTATTTTCATTTAATTAAAAATTTTTATACAAATGTTGCCACAATTATTTATATTACACAAATATAAATTTTAAGTAGGCCTGCTGGAAGTAAAGAAATACAAAGAGATTAAAAAAGGGGATAAAAAAAGATTAAAAGATATAATAGTTTAGATATGCAAAATGGATACTTAAAAGAGATACAAATTGTTTATCTCTTTCTATAACCTTATATTTATACAGTAGAATTCCAATTATCCGGATCAATTGGGACCAGACCCGATCCGGATAAGCGAAAATCCGGATAATCAAAATGAGCATAAGATTTATATATTTTGAGTAATAAGATTTCAATCTGCTATTTAAAACGCTGCTGCAAAAACCATTTAAACATTGACGCCTCAAGTTCTTTATTTTGAGAAGTTTTCATAACTTTTCTAGACGGGTTTCTATCTGTACATTCCAAATCAGAAGCAAATTTCAAAACCGCAGAACTGTTTTTCTTTAAATCTACAATCCGGTTAATCGGATGTCCGGATAATTGGAATCCGGATAATTGGAATTCTACTGTATCTCTTTTTATCCCTTCTAATCTCTTTATATACAGTTTCAGATATAGAAATATATAGAAAAAATATATAGAAAGAGATAAAAAAATGGGGATGCAAAGTGGTGAATTAAAGAAGATAGAACTTTTCAATCTCTTTCTATTCATACATTTCTGTCTTCCTCTATCCATTTTCACATCCTTTCTAATCCAAAGGAAAGTAAAAAAGGAGATATCTCTTATAAAAGAAATCGATTAATTTCAATTAAAAACTTTCTCTATTGTTGTTAATTAAGTTTCTTAATCGTGTTGTTCTATAATTCATTACGATTAACTATAAAAAATTTGCAAGTAAATCTTTAATATATTTTTAGAAAAGTTTCGGTGCTGTGTGAGTTTAAACCTAATTTTGGTTGTCTATTATTGATAAGCATTTATTGGTTAAAAATATGAATGTTAAACTCAAACAAAAACGTAAAATCGCGCAGAGCATAACACACGCTTTCTGATGTACTGACCCGACGCCATGACACATAACAGCTGGGAAGATCGACACATGCGCGTATAACTTTATGAGTATATATATATAGAAAGGGATATACTATAGTAAATAGTAAATTAGAAGAGATAAACTTATTAACATTCAAAATGGCGGATCCAATATGGCGGATTACTTATTACAAAATTGATCCAATTGACCTAAATGTTGGTTCTCGGGTGAACCCCGGTCATTGATTACAAATTTCGTGATATTTTTTTTAAATTCAAAATGCTTTGATTCATACTTACTTTCAAGAATTAATGCTTTTTAGAAATCGATGATCCAATTGATACTTGTAAAAACTGAGTTGCCAACTAATTATAATTTTTCGTTGTAAAATTGGCAGGAATTTTATAATAAACAGATTCCAGTTTATTAATTTTAAAAATTTCTTTGCTAATTATCAATCCACATTCTAAATTTAAAAATAAACTAAAGATTTGTAATCAGAGACTACAACAACCTTTGAGTAACAAGTTTCGTGACAATCTAAAACATTTTTACATTTGTCAGTTGTCATATTGGATCCGCAATTTCGAATTTTTAAAAACTAAGATCAGATTCATCATCACCGATCCCAAAAACCCCCGAGTGAAAAGTTTCTGATAAATCTAGACAATTTAAAAAAAAATTTCCGCCATATTGGATCCGCCATTTTGAATTTATAAAAACTGATGTCATCTTCGTAATTATAGTTCCCTAAAACTCCCGAGTGACAAATTTTAGGTAAAACTAAACAAGTTTTAAAAAATCGTGCGCCATATTGGGTCCGCCAGTATTTGATGCGCTGAATCCGAATCTGGCAACGAAAATCTCCCATCACGTCAGGATTTTGAGAAAATTGGGGGTAAATTTCCAAAAATCATGTTTTTTGCCGTTTTCGAACATTTCTACCGGGTCAATCCGACGTGCTAGAGACTTGTCATAGGAGTCAAATTAAAGCCTGAACGCTGTACTTTAAGAAAATAAAGCGATATTGCTGACAACAAACTAAGAGCCTGTTTACACCGCGTCGCATAAATGTATTCCTACGCGCGCATAAACGTATATTCCTCCAGGAGAAAAACTCGCGTCTGCGCAAAGTGCTTCCCAGCGGTTTCAAACTCTTCACAACACAGCTGGGAAGCACTTTGCGCAGACGCGAGTTTATTCTCCTGGAGGAATATACGTTTATGCGTGCGGAGGAATACATTTATGCGACGCGGTGTAAACAGGCTCTAAATTAGCCGTAAAAAATGATTTTTTTAAACAGTTGTCAAGCATAAAAATTGATTGACACTGTCTGTAAATTAAACTATTTTGAAAAATGATTGGATTTGCTTAAAAGTTGTTACTTAGGGGTTTTTGGGGTCGCTGATTACGAATATGTTGTCAGATTTTAAAAATTCAAAATGTCGGATCCAATATGGCGGACTTATTTTTCAAAATTGACCAAATTCACTTAAAACTTGTTACTCGGGGGTTTTTGGGGTCGTTTATTATGAATCTAACTACAGATTTTTTATTTTTACATCATATTTGTAATCAACGACCCCGAAAACCCCAAAGCGATATATTCTAAGCGAATCCAATCATTTTTTAAAACAGTTGTATTCACGGACAATGTGAGTCAATTTTTTATGCTTGCCAACTGTTACAAAAATTGTTTTTGACGGCTAATTTAGTTTGTTTGTTTGTTTGTCTTAAAGTACAGGGTACAGGCTTTAATTTAACTCCTATGACAAGTCTCTAACACGTCGGATTTACCCGGTAGAAATTTTCAAAAACAGCGAAAAACATGATTTTTCGAAATTTTCCCCCACTTTTCTCAAAATTCTGACGTGATGGGAGATTTTCGTTGCCAGATTCGGATTCAGCGCATCAAATACTGCGGGAAATCACTTCTCGATCTCTGACAACGGCGATTTTTATTTTTTTGCAGGCTTGTGTAATTTTTATTCGATTTTAAAATGTTTAAGAAATTCGTGATTTTTAACAAAAATTTATGGATTTTTTTAAACAATAGGAATTTTTTTAATATGATCTAGGTTACATATTTTTAAAGCCCTATTCTTCCTGAAGAGAACGCACTAAATTTGACTCAAAAATATTAATTTTAATCAAGAATATTGAGGTTTTAAAAGGTGGGACGTATACGTCCCACATATACGTCCCACCGCCCCTCAAAGGGTTAAACAATTTTTTTCAATAATTATAATTTTTCTAAATTCCGAGAGGACCGCTGGTCCCATAGCATTTCTCTATATTTACCAAAAAATCCCGACTCAAAATATTTTTTTCTTTTAAATGAAACGTCTATCACGAAACAATTATTTTTTTCCGGATGCCCTTAAATTTCATTAAAAGGAACATTTTTAAAGAACATCTAAGCCGAGAGCTATACAACAATGAGAAACAAATTTTTTCAAAAGAAGCCTACCAAAAAATATGTTTAAAATAAAATTATTTAATTATTAAATTAAACTTATTGCATTGAATCACATATTATATTCATTTCTCAGTGAAAATTTGTAAAGTTTAAAAGAAATCATTTCAATTATTTCAAGATTTTTTAAGACAATATAAAAAAGTTTAAATAATTTATTTTTATTTTTTGACAAAAAAAAAATTACAAAAAAAAAATTACAAAAAAAAAAATTTTTTTTCTACAAAAAAAAAATTTTTTCTTTTCAAAAAAAAAATTTTTTTTTATAAGAAAAAAATTTTTTTTTACAAAAAAAATTTTTTTTTGTGTCAAAATGGTACCTTCTCATAAGTGAAAGAAAGTGATGTAAAAAAGACGTTGATATTTGTTTAATTAATTCATTGATTCATTACTTAAAAAAAAAACTTTTTATTACCTGTTGTCCCTCTCGTACACATTCAGTAGTTCTTCTTTCACATCGATCTCTATTGCATTGTAAATTCTGACAGCATTCACTATTATTGCGACACTGGAAATTTAAAAATGAAATTTAAACAAAAAAAAAACTTGAAAAAAAATTATGTTCTTAAAATTCTAACTTCTAAAACTTTAATTTTAATTTTTTTAATTCTAAAAATTATAATTTTTCAATGACTGCAATATTAAATTGCTTTTTTTTCATGGAAAATATTGAATGAACTGTGAGACAAAAATTAGAGAAAACTTTGAAAATATAATGAAAAGGTAAAAAAGATGAAAAAAGTTATGCTTCAATAATTAATTAATTAAAAAAACTTTATTACCTGTTGTCCCTCTCTTACACATTCAGGTTCTCTTTTCTCACATCGATCCCTATTGCATCGTAAATTCGGACAACATTCTGCATCATTTCGACACTTGAAAGTAAAAAGGTGAAATTTAAAGTTGAATTAAAAATTTTTTAATTTTGAAAGTTTCTGAACGATAGAAAAATTAGGTTTGTTTAAATAAATATGTAATCTTTTTTTGTCGTTGCAATATGAAAAGTGATGTACTTCTATCTGAGAATAGAAAATTATTTATTTGTTTCAAATATATTTTATTTGGTTCCATAAAATTTTACTTGGTTTAAATAAATTTCATTTGATTCGAATAAAATTTTACTTGGTTCAAATAAATTTCATTTGGTTCCACAAAATTTTACTTGGTTCAAATAAATTTCATTGGATTCAAATGAATTTCATTGGATTCAAATAAATTTCATTTGATTCGAATGAAATTTCATTTGATTCGAATGAAATTTTACTTGGTTCAAAAAAAATTTTACTTGGTTCAAGTAAAATTTTACTTGTTCACATAAATTTTACTTGGTGCAAATAAATTTTATTTGGTTTGAATAAAAGTTTACTTGGTTCAGGAAAATTTGATTCAAATAAAGTTTTACATGCGATTAAAATAAAATTTTATTTGTACGAAATACAGTTTCTTGGTAGGGGAATGTAGTCAAGGTTGGCCTACTGTCTAGGTAGGCCACTCGCGTTTTTTTGTCAAGTTCACTAGCGCCACCTACGCGCATTTTTGTCGAAGCTTGTCTTAGTGAAACCTAACTTTTTGTTCAATTACATTTTCGGAAAATCGAAAATTGTGTTTTCTGTGACGTCGGTACAAAAAAAGCTCAAAAAAAGTTTTGTGCATAATGTGAAAAACCATTAATAAAAGATAAAAAACAAATTGAATCGTCAAGGCAAGTATGCAGAAAATTTGTGGGACTCATGGTTGAAAGGAAAACAAAGTAAAAAATCGAATCCCGAAACGTATTTCTTTTTGTTTACAACAATTCGGTAATGTTACTTACTGTCAAGGTCGGCCACTATGTGTTTAAAATGCGCAAAGTTGAGGACGAGCTACTTCATTTGCAAAAACTGCAATTCTGTATAACTCATAATATAATTGATCATCTTATTAATATTTTTATTTAATTTTATTAATATTTTAGTGCAAAACTTTTTTTTATTTATATTTATTTTTTTATATTGTTTATTGTTATTATTTTGTTATTTCATTAAGTTACAAACTGTAAACAATAAAGAATCAATTTTCCGTAACTCCAAACATGTTATTTTATTTTTTAACGATTAATGCCCTTTGAATTTTAAACATGGCCGACCTTGACTGTAATGGCCAACCTGGACTACAAATTTTTTTTTTTTTAAATCTTTATAACTTTTTCATTTTTAAACCTGTCAATTTACTTTGTACAGAAAAAATGTTCCTATTAAACAGGACTTTCCAACCATATACTTCAATTGTCCAAATTCATTTTTAAAAAAAAGTTATAAACAAAAGTCAAAAAGGTGGCCGACCTAGACTATGTTCCCCTACTAAATATAATTTTTATTTCAAGCAAATACAGTTTAAATAAATTTATAAATAATTTTAAAACATTAAAATGTTCTCTGTATTTATTAAGCTTCAAAAAAATGAAGAAATTGTTTACAAATAACAATTTTATTTGTAAATATCGTTAAATAATTAAAATGTTGACTAATTTTGGATATAGAAAAAAAAATTGTTATTTGTATAATTAATTAAGAAATAAATTAACTTACTTGTTGCGTCTCGCGTTGACACTCGGGTCGTTTTTCACAACGATCCCTATTGCAATCAAGATTTTGACAACATTCTCTATCGCTGCGACACTAAAAATTAGAAAAATGCCAAAAAATTAATTGACATAATTCATAATGATAGTAATTAATTAATTATTAATTGAATACTTGTATTAAATATTTAAAGTAAAAAAATGAATTATATAGTTATATTATCAATTTAATAATATTGAATTAATAAACTGAATAAAAAGATTAATCAATTAAAATATTAATTAGTAGAATGAAATTATTTAATTGAATTAAAAAACAGAATTTTAATTTTAAAAAGTAATTATTTCAATAATTTTATAAATCAATATTGAAAAATTAATCAATTAAATAGTTAAAAGAATAGTTAAGTAATTAAATTAATTATTCAAATTAATTATCTAAATTTATAAATTAAATTGTTAATACTTAATAACCTACCTGTCCATTTTCGACAACACATTGTTGACCATTCACCACCAAGACGAACAGTCCAGCAAAATAAAATAAAATACAAAATTTCATCTATTGAAAGAAAAATTAATTTTTTACTTTTTACTGAATTAAAATAATAAACATTTTTTATTTATTCAAATTTCTTATTAAAATTAAATAAATTACCTTTCTAAATTATTACTCAGTTCGGCTATCTTCTTCAGAACGTAAACTTAATTTGTTGGTGGAAAAAAATTTTCTCACAATTTATACACTCATAAAAAATGATAATTATTGTTTATTTATTTATTTTTTATCAGTTTTCTTGCTATTTAAGTAAACAATTATTCTGTTTTAATGTCGAATATTTTTACAATTTTTTTTCCTCTTTGTTGTTTTTAATGCGGCTTCAGATGGAAAAATAAATTATATTTATTTTTTCTCTTAATTTTTTAAAAATTCTTTTCCTCCTTATTTATATTTGTTGACTAGTGTTTATTTATTTTTTCTTTAAAGACTTTATTAAAAAAAAATTGATATTTTTAAGAATTATTTTTGTTAGAATGCAGGCTATTAAAAATTCAGGAATTCCTCTTTAATTTCTGACCAAGACAAAGAATTTTGGTCAAAAAATTTCCAAGTTATGAATTTTTATTTTTGACCATTTTTAAATTTTTAATTTTCTGATACTTTCTATAAATAAATTTAGAAAATATTTTTTTAATTAATAATTATATATTATTTTAATTATAATTAATTCATAAATTGTAAGTACTGCTTTCTTCTAAATAATTAATAAAATAAATAAGATAATCAAATCAATTTTACTTTTTAATTTTCATTGGCTTATTATAATTAAAATATAATTAACATTTATAGAAGAAAGGAGTGTGAAAATATAAGTAAACATTTTTCTTCTTTTTTGTAACATTTATTCATACAATTGACAATTCATTGTAATTATTTATTTGAAAATTAGTCAAAAATTACAATTTACTTTTTGTAACTATTTTCAAATTAGGTTTGATTTAAAATTTTATTAAATATTTAATTGACATGTACCCTGGCGACGATCGCATCTTAATAAGAAACAGCATTGACTGTTCTCTGAACACTGAAACACGTAAAAAATATTTTTTCGTTTATTATTTTTAATTTGATAAATCATTTTTATTCTTTAATTCAATTATTATTATTAATATTATTAATTTAAGTAGTAAATTATTATTATTATTTTTAAACTAGTTATCAGGAATTATATTTTAATTTTCAGAACTACTCACTCTTTGTCCAATATTGCGACAATTTTCACGATTGCAACGTTCATTTTGGCATCTTAAACCACTACAGCAATTTCTATTTCTGCACTGTAAAAGAAAAGTTAATTTTTTTTTTTGATAATTTAATTCTGTTTGGTAAATATTTTTTTTTTTCATTTAATATTCGTTTTTATAACTATCAAACTTACATCGTCTCCCTCTCCTTGACAATCTGTACATCTTTCTCTACTACATCGAAGACTATCGCAACATTCTCCATCGGCGGCACACTGGAAATAAAATTTTTTTTTAACCATAAAAAAAAGTTTAATTGTTTAGATAATTAATTAATTTTGTTTATAATAATAATAATAATAATTAATTATTATTCACGTACTTCTTGATTTTCTCTTCGACAGTCGTCTCGTCGTCTCTCACAAACACGGTCTCTCTCGTGGCATCTTAAATTCATACAGCAATTACGGTTCTCTAAACACTAAAAATTAAATTAAAAAATTTCCCTTTTGAAAAATATTTGAAAAATATTCCATAACTACATTTATTTTTTTATAATTTTTTTTTTATGATAAATTATAATATTATTATAATAATTAACTATTCAATTAATGAATTATAATTACTTGTTCTCCCATTTGCCGACAATTTGGAGGGGCACTTCTTACACACTTTTCGTTATTGCATACAAGATTCACACAGCATTCTGCACTGTTGCGACACTTGAAATTAGAAATAAAATTTTTTTTTTATTCGATAGTTTTAGAAAGAAAAATTATTGTAGAAAATAGTTCGTCATTTTATGGTAGAAAATATTTTTCTTTATTACTAGAGGTAAAAAATTAAATTTAAATAAAATATTTAAGAGAATGAAAAAATTTTTTTGATAATTTATAAAAATTAGTAACTCACCTCTCTATTTACGTTCATACATAGTTGACCATTAACGGCTAAGACGCAAAGTCCAGCACAAAAGAATAGAATAGAATATTTCATCTAATTGGAAAATAATTTATTTAATTTAAATTCAAAACATTCTATTTTATTTTTTATCAGTATTTTTTTTCTATATATTTATTGAGTTTTTTTATTCGTTTTATTTTCTTGTATTCTTTTTATTAATTTTTTGTAATTAATTTTAGTAATTTTCGTTTTTATTAATTTTTAATTTTATTTTTTATCAGTATTTTTATTTTATTCGCATTAATATTATCACTTTTTCTATTAAAATTTTTTAAATAATTGAAATCAAATTTTACCTTTTCTTATCGGCACTTCTGTTTTTCTCTTTAGAAAGAAAACTGTGTTATTGAGTGAAAATTTTTTTTCAACTTATATACTCGAACAATATTGATAATTTCTTTTTATATTTTCAAATTATATATTTTTTTTATTGTTTAGGCAATGACTGTTCTGTTTTTAAATGGAATATTTTTTTAAGTATTTTTTTCCTCTCCAGATGTGTAAATAAATTTTTCTTTTTGAAAATTATTTTTCTATTTTTGTTTATTTGTTGACATTTAGATTTTCTTATTTTTAGAAGGTTTTTGTCAGAAGGAATAATAAAATGCGTTTGTCTTTATTGAATTTATTTTATTCAAAAAATTTTCAAATAATTCAATTAAGTAAGGAATATTAATTAGTTATTTGTTCCAAAAAGACTAAAATTACATGTTCCTTGGCGACGATCGCATCTTAAGAAAACACAACACTGTCTGTTCTCTTCGCACTGAAAAGAGAAAAAAAATTTAGTTCGTCAGCTTCATTTGAGAAAATAATTTTAGTTCTTTTATTTCAAGTGTAAATGAAAATAATAATTTTCGTAGAAAATATAAATATACTCTTCTGAATAATTTAGTATTTTAAAAAATTCATACCCTTTGACCTACTCCGCGGCATCTTTCACGAGAGCAACGATCATTTTGGCATCTTAAGCCATTGCAACAATTTCTATTTCTGCACTGTATTAAAAAATGGATAAATTTTAATTTTTATTACAAACATAATATTTTGTTTAAAGTTTGTTTTTGTCAACTTACACTGTCTCCTTCTCCTTGACAATCTGTACATCTTTCTCTATTACATCGAAGATTTTCACAACATTCTCCGTCTCCTCGACACTAGAAAATAGAAATTAAAAAAAAAATTGTTAACTTAATTAGAAATTTTAATTAAATTAATTGGAAATTAAAATTAAAAATTAAAAAAAAATAATAAATAGAATAATATTTGTTGTAAATTTTTAATAAATAATTAGAATAATAAAGTTACGTACTTGTTGACCTTCTCTTCCACAATCTTCTCTGCGTCTTTCGCAAACTCTGTCTCTTTCGTTGCATTGAAGACCTGTACAGCAATCGCGACTCTCTTGACACTAAAATTAGAAAAAAGAATTTTATTCACAAAATAATTTAATAGAAATAGAAATTTAATAGATTTTAATAAAAATTTAATTAAAAATCTCCTTAACGGAATAAAAATGATAATAATGAATAATTAAAAAAATCAAATTAACGAATTTAAAAATATTCTTTAGAAACGTATAATTTAATTTATCAAGTAAATTTAATTAATCAATTTTTATTACTCTTTGCCCCACTTGGCGACAATCTTCACCGTCTCTTCTTTCACATCTATCCCTATTGCATTGAAGATTTTGACAGCATTCTCTATCATTGCGACACTAGAAATAATTTTTATTAATTAGTTACTTTTAGTTAATTTTGTTTGTTTAAATTTAATTTTTACTATTTATTTAATTTTTAATAATGAATTTATTATGCACTTACTGTTTGACCCTCTCGTACACATTCAGCTTCTCTTCTTTCACATCTCTCCCGATTGCATCTTAAATTCTGACAGCATTGAGTATCGTTACGACACTAAAAATTTGAAATTAATTTTTTTTTTTTTGTTATATTTCATTTAAACTTTTCAGTTTGATATTTTTTAATAATTAATAACCCACCTGTCCATTTTCGTTTACACATTGCTGACCATTAACGTCCAAGAAAAAGAATCCAGCACAAAAAACTACAAAAAAAATTTCAGTTTTCATCTGAAAAAGAAAGAATTTGTATTTATTAATTTATAAGTAATATTAAAAAAATAAGTCGTTTAGGTATGTAATAATATACTAAAACATATAATAATAAAATAATAAAATATAAAATAAATAATATAAAATAATAATAATACAGAAATAAAATATTAAAAAAAAATATTGAAAATAAAATAATAAAAATAATAATAACAGAATAATAATAAATACAATAAAATGTATAATAATGTAGGTGTACAATTATTAACAAAAAAATACATTAAATAAATTAAAACTATGAAAAAATGGGGGACAATTGTTTCGTGATTAATTCTGGGGAAATTTAAATAAAAATCCATATTATTTATATTTATATTTTAATATTTTAGAAATTTTTTTTTAGAATTTTTTGGCAAATTTTACCTTTTTTTAATAATTATTAAAGTCCGTTGATCTTCTTTAGAATCGAACTCAAAAATGATGCCCATCAAAAATTCATCCCAATTTATATAGTCACACAGGAAATTAGCTCAATTTCATTCTTCTTCTTTTTTTTAATAATCATTTCTTTTATTACTGTCTAGATAAGAATAATTGTCCTATCAAAAAAATAAAATATTTTTCCTAATTTTTTTCCGCATTCGTATTTTTTTTGTAATTATGTATCTTCGAATGCTAAATGATTCAATATTTACTCTTTCATTTGTAATCGTTTGTTTTTTAATTTTTGTCCTTGTTTACTTTTTTAGGCGTGTGCCATAATTTATTATTGTATTTTCCAAAAACCTTTTTGAAAACCACGACATTTTTTACTCTAAAATTCCAATGGGAAAAAATTCTCGCAAAATTACCGAAACAATATTCCCTTAATTATAGGTATTTATAATATTATATTGTTTATGAAAATTTCTTAAATAAATTTCCAGATTCAGTTTTTATAGATATTAATTGTATATTAGTGCGACTACAAGTTAAATTTCTGATGTTTTGGAATAAGTAAACTAATTTGTTGTAATTTAATTGATTCAAATTCCAATTCTAGAATTTTAATATAGAAAAAGAAATTTTTTTTCCCAAATATTACATCAAAATATTCAGTACTTTTCGAGATGTTAAAATTTTGGAAAAATTCTAAAATTGTTATTTCTCCCTTCCAATTTTTAATTTATTTTCAAAAGTAATAAAATTCTTCGCAGAAATTCAATTATGTTCAACAGTTTTTAAAAATCCTAGTCAAAATTTCCATTATCTTTAGAAATAATTAAATTCTTCTCCGAAAATCAATTATTTTCGAAAATTTTAATAAAATTCTTGGCAAAATTTCAATTATTTTCAAAATTTTCTAAAAGGATTCAATCATTTTCAAAAGTTTAATAAAATTCTACACAAACCTTTAATTATTTTAAAGAAATAATAAAAATTTCACAGGAATTTCATTATTTAAATTTTTTTTATAAATTTCTCTGCAATCATTCAATTATTTTTATAAATAATAAAACTCATTGCAGAATTTCAATTATTTTTAATACAATTTTAATCGAATTCCCCAAAAAAATTCTTGAACATTTTAAATTAAAATTCGTCAAAAGAATATTCAGTTATTTAAAAATTTATTGATACAATTCTTTATGAGAATTCAATTTTAAGAAACATTCAATTAGTCAATTATTTTTTTTTTGTATTTAAATAATTGAATTCTTATAGAATTTTCGGATAAAAATTTATTTAAAAATTAATTTCAGTTAAAATTTTAGATAATAATTTAATATTAAAAAGCATTAAAACGTAAATTTGTAGAAATAATTGAATTTTGAAAAGGTTTCAGATTAAAATCTTTGAAAATTTAAATTTTTAATATTTTTAACGAACAATTCTGTAAAATTAATTTTTTTTGAGAAAGTTTAATTGCGGATTATTTTTTGAAATTATTTAGTTTTTATTTTCTAATATATATTTAATTGAAAAATTTACAAATACTTGAAATTTTAAAAAAAAAAATTTTTCAAAAATTTTTAAAAAGAATGAATATTTAGAAAATGTTTAGTTAAAAACACGAAAAAAATAATTTAATTTTGGAAAAGTTACAAATTATTGAAGAAATTTAATTATTTTTAAGAGTAAATTTTATTAAAATCTATCAAAGAAATTCAATTATTTTAAAAACCTTTGCTACAATTTATTTATTAGAATTAAAGTATTACTTTCAATACAGTTTAAATTAAATTTCTTCAAAAAATTAAATTATTTTTAAAAATTTTAATGAAACTCTTTGTGACAAGTCAATTTTTATCAAAATAATTTTAATAAAATTCTTCATAGAAATTTAATTAATTTGAATTATGTTAAAAAATTTACAAAAATTCTCGTCAAAATTTCAATTATCTTTATAAATAATAAAATTTTTCTCTGAAATTCAATTATTTTCTAAAATTTTAATAAAATTCTTGGTAGAATTTCAATTATTTTTAAAACAATTTTAGTCGAATTCCTTAAAAAAATTCTTAAAAATTTTATTAAAATTCGTCGATAGAATTCAATTATTTAAAAATTTGTTGATAAAATAATTCTTTATGAAAATTCAATTTTGAGAAACATTAAATTGTTCAATAAATTATTTATTTTTGTATTTTAATAATTGAATTCTAATAGAATTTTCTAATAAAAATTGATTAAAAAATTAATTTCTGTTAAAATTTTAGATAATTAAATATTAAATCAATGTAGCGTGAATTTTTGAAAATAATTGAATTTTGAAATTAATTTTTTTGAAAACTTTAATTGAATTTTTTTAATATTATTTCAAGATTTTATTTTCTAATATTTATTCAATTGAAGAATTTACGAATAATTGAAATTTCGTAAAATTGAATATTGTAAAATGTAAACAAATGAATTTGAAATTTGTTAAAGAACTTTTTCGAAAATTACAAAAAATAATCGATTTAAAGAAGAATTTTAGTTAATTAAAAGCGAATAGAGTAAAGAAATTTACTGTATTTAGAACCTCGAATCCAGCTTTATGCAGAAGGAGAAGAAAGCGAGAGAGAGAAATTAAGAGAACGAGTATCTAAATAAAGTATACGAAGTACGAACCGAATAAATTAATTCGAAAATCTAATCAAAATACAAAAAAAAAAAAAAGAATTGGAAAGAAAAAGAAAAAAGATTGAGAAATAAAAAGATTTTCAGATTCCAGCGTGGCAAAGGCACTTGGATTCTGATTAATTGATTATCGCTGGGTGCGTGTATATAGAGATGGCTTTTGAGGAGAATGGAAGAGAGAAGCCGTTGCACGCACAAAGCAATGGATTAACTGAGGCATTCGCGCATACATAACCGAATCCGACATCAAACCCACTGATGAAAACCAGTGACCTCAATCTAAAATTGCACTCACAGCATCACTCCATCTCATTGTCTTTGGGGGTACACAACCCCCTTCATATGTTTACGTGTATGTTTAAATTCCCCTTTTCTCTTGTAAGAACCGTCCACAAGTAGGTATTTTGCTGTCAGACTTTGTTCCCGTAAACTAAATACCCGCATTTCTCACGATAGCTAATAAACAAGTCTACCAAACGCAAATTTAACAAAACCGTCTATTATTTCTCCCCAAGAGATATTCATTGTTGAAAAGTTTATTTATGAATAAATATATATATATATATATATATATATATATATATATATATATATATATATATAGCCCTCAAGTACTCTCCTTAATCCCTAATTAGCTTCACACTCTAGGAATTTTGATTCTTGCTTTTGAATATTATATTAACTTCCGACTGAATTTAATGCTTATAAATCATTACTGATTTTCAAGTCCTAAATAAGTGAATGCATAAATAGACGAGTGCATAAATAAATGTAGCAATAAATAAATAAATACATAAATAAATAAATACATAAATAAATACATAAATAAATACACAAATAAGTACATTAATGAATAAACAAGTAAATACAATAATAAAAAAAATGACTAGTTTTTTTTTTTAGAGAAAAATTTAGATACAACAGTATCCACTCAAAAGGGTGCCAAGAAGACAGACAGAGTTTCCACAGATTAGGGAAATCAGGGAATTCAGGGAATAGTCAGGGAAAGTAGAATTGATCAGGGAAATCAGGGAAAATTAAAATTTTTAGAATTTATAAGAAAATTCTGAATTTTTCGGTCTTTTTTGTTTGCCTCATATCAACTATAAAGTTACCACAAACTATAATACAAAACTTTCAATTTTTTTCTATTTCCGAAAAGAATGAATTTTTTTTAATATTATTTAATTATTTCAAAAGTTTTTAAAAGCAATTATCTTCATAAATAACAAAATTCTTCACTAAAATTCAATTAACAAGTTTTGAAAATAATTAATTTCTTTTAAAACATTTAATTAGAATTTTACCAAAATTTATTGAATTAAAGAATTTTATCACAATTTTTGAAAATGATTGAAAACTTTTGCAGAATTTTATTAGAATTTTTAAAAATAATTGAATTCATAAGCAGAATTTTCATAAATAATAACATTCATCACAAGAATTCAATTATTTTCAAAAGTAATAAAATTCTTTTTATGAATTCAATTATTTTCATAAATAATAAAACTCATTTCAGAATTTCAATTATTTTTAATACAATTTTATTCGAATTCCTGGAAAAAATTCTTAAATATTTTAAATTAAAATTCGTCAAAAGAATTCAATTATTTAAAAATTTACTGATTAATTATTTATGAGAATTCAATTTTAAGAAACATTCAATTATTCAATTAATTTTTTTTTGTATTTAAATAATTGAATTTTCATAGAATTTTCTGATTAAAATTTATTTAAAAATTAATTTTAGTTAAAATTTTAGATAATAATTGAATATTAAAAAGCATTAAAATCTAAATTTTTAGAAATAATTGAATTTTGAAAAGGTTTCAGACTAAAATCTTTGAAAATGTGAATTTTTCATTTTTTCACTAACAATTCTGTGGATTGAATTTTTTTTTTGAGAAAGTTTAATTGCGGATTATTTTTAAAATTATTTAGTTTTTATTTTCTAATATATATTTAATTGAAGAATTTACGAATACTTGAAATTTTGTAAAATTGAATTGTAAAACCAATGAATTTGAAAGTTCTTAAAGAAATTTTTCAAAAATTATTTTTAAAAAATGGATTTATAGAAGATGTTTAATTAAAAACACGAAAAAAAAATTTAATTTTGGAAAAGTTACAAACTATTATTGCAAAAATTCAATTATTTTCAAAAGTAATAAAAAAATTGTCAAAATTTCAATTATTTTCAAAAATTTTCCAAAGGAATTAAATTATTTTTAAAAAATTTAATAAAATTCACTAAAATTCAATAATTTTTAGAAATTTTGATAAAATTCTTTTTTAAATATCAATTATTTAGATAAATATCAGAAATAATCGCAAGAATTTAATCCTTTTGAAAAGTAATAAAACACTTTGCATAAATTAAAATATTTTCAAAATTTTTAAAGAATTCTCTTCAAGAATTAAGTTGTTTTTATAAATAG